AGGGGACTTCTGTAAAATGTTGCATTTGCACAAGGTCCTAGTAAGTGAGATTGTTACCATCAATCAAATCTTGAATTGCAAACTTCAACTGCTAGCAGTGGTCAGTGGTGTGACCAGGTCCTTGATGATACTCGTAGTAAGCATTTTCATCATACTTTCTAGGTTTGGGCTCTCGTGGAGGCCTCCATATAAGCAACCGCAAAAATCCAGCTTGAACTAAAGCAGGGAGCAGTTGAGAATGAGCACATGGTAAAGGGGAAAGTTTTCTTCTTTCTTTTTGATGAGATTGCTGAGTGATCAGGGTTTTGGGAGGCAAATGATATGTTTGTGCTTGTGTGGGTGAGGGATAATATATCTGCTCAAGCAGTCTAACTAGTTTGAGAGGATCTATGGTAAGCTGCAACTTTGAAGCTTTTAGGATAATGGGCTTAAGGTACCTGAGGCTTAATAGTAGAAATAGCTTGCACTTCATTCTCTTCATTATACTTTGGAGAGGACTTCCCAACTAATGGTAAATTCCTGGGGATCATCACCGGGATGATTCGACCTTGCCTAAGAGCCTCTTCAATTCTGACAGCTCCCTTTATGACATCACCAAAATCCTTCAAAGGTTGTGCAATCAGCAATGTATGATATGGATCCTTTAATGTTTTGATAAACAACCGCACCATCTCTTCCTTTGGCATCAGGTGCCGCAATTTAGCTGCCATTTCACGCCATCGATATGCATAATCCAAGAAACTTTCCCCTGAGTTTTGAGACATTGACTCAAGTTCTGCTCGATCAGGTGCTAACTCCATGTTCTAAGAAAACTGGTCTAAGAATGCTTCTGAAACTCCTTTCCAATTCCTCTTCTTTTCATCTACCAAATTTACAAACTAGGTTCTAGCACTCCTTGTAAGGCTCTTCTGAAACATCTGAATGAGTAACTTCTCGTTTGAGCCGTATTGAAACATGTTACCGCAGAAGATCTTCAGATGGGTTTGTGGGAATCCCTTCCCGTCATACTTTTCAAGGTATGGCATTTTAAACTTGACAGGCAATTCTGCATCAAGGTATAAGCACAACTCTCTAAAATCTGTAACACCCAAATTCCGAACTTCTTTTAGCCTCTTCATCTCATCTTTCATCTGCTCTATTTCAATCTTGAGGGGATCTTGGAATGGTGAAGACTAGATGGCAGTCATATTCAAATTCTTTCCTCCTAAAGACGTAACAATGGGTTGAGGCATGGTTGAATTCTCAAAGTTATGAGTGAGAAATGCCCTTAACTGATAAGCTTGTTTAGTTTCCACAGTAAAAACAAAGAGAGATGACCAATATGTTGCTTTTGGCATGGGATTAGGGTTCTGGGATGAAAAGGATGTAAAGGCAAAGGATGTAGGAGGGAAAAATGATTGAGTTCCCATTATGGGAGTGGATTAAGCGATTTGGGATTTCTCAACTTCCAATTTGGCCAACTTGATAGACATCTCATTCAATGTTTCTTAGAGATGGAGGTAGTCACTATAAGGGACATGAGTCAGCACTGTTGTATCTGTTTTTGGTGGGACAGCCGATTGAGGTATGCAATCAGTCTTAGGAGAAATCTCAGACATGGTAAAGAATTTGGGATGAACCACGCTGCTTTCTGACTTCTAGATCTACAAGAATAACCTCCTTTGAAAAAGGGCATCAATTAGATCATTGTGCACCATTATCTTATATTTTGCTTATTCTCCTATGTCTTATCTTGACCATCTTCCATTTCTTTCTTTCTTTTTTTTTAACTATTTTCTATTTTGTTTTTTATTTTGTATTTTTCTTGGTCTTATTTTCTTTTTCCACCTTTTCATACATCTTCTTCTTATCCTTTGATGATTTGATTTCTTTTTATAATCTTTTTTTCTTTTGTTTTTTTGGTAACACATTCATTACATTTCCCAAAATTTCAACCAATCAAAACAAATTCAAAGAAATTTGGATCATCCTCATCCTCTTCTTTTCTTTTCTTTTCTTTCTTTTTTTGGTTATTTTTCCTTTTTTGGATTTTAGCTTTCTTTTTGCATTTTTTTGGGATTTTAAATTTTTTCTATCTTTTTTTTGACTTGTAACTCCTTTATTGAAATAAGGTGATTTTATTTTTTGTTTTTTAATATTTTATTTTCGATTTTTTTAAATTATTTATTATTTTTTTTGAATTTTTTGGCTTTTGTTTTTGAAATCTTTTAGATCTTTAATTCTTGTTGTTTTATTTTTTTAATATATTTTTGCTATAATTAATTTTCTTAATCACTCTAAAGAAATATTCAGAACTTTTCTTATTTAAATGATTTTTTTTGTTTGTTTCCTTTCTTACTCATCTTTCCTTATTTCTTTTCCTTCATTTTTCTTCTTTTTTTTTCTCTTTTTTCCTCTCCCATTTCTATTCCTTTTTTTTGTATTTCCATTTTTGCTGATTTTTTTTTTAATTCCTTCTGATGTTTTTTCATGTCCATATATTTGCAATTTCTTTTATTCACAATTGTTATTGTATATTAATTTTTTTTCTTTTTATTTTATTTTGACACTTTATTTTTGGATTTTTCAGATTTTTTAGTTTTCTTTACATTTTTATATATTTATTCTTTTTTATCTATTAAAAGCTTCCCCTTTAATTTTCTCTACCTTATTTTTTGGATCTATTATTATACTTTTTTTGACTTTTTATTTTATTTAATTTTTTTTGAGAACTTTGATTAATTTAAATGTTTTATATTTGATCTTTTTCTTTCTCTCTTTTTTCTTCTATTTTTCCCCTTTTTGATTGAATTTCTATTTCTTTTGATTTTTTTTAATTCCTTATTTATTATGTTGATTTTTCATTTGTATTTTCAATTTTTTATTGCTTTTTTTTTATTTTTTATAAATAGTTTTTAACACTTTATTTTTTGGATCATCCAAATTTTGTTATTTTTACTCCTTTTTTATATTTTTTATTTTTCCATTTTTTGTTGACTTTTTCCTGTTTTTCCTTCTTTAAAAACTTGCCTTTTGATTTATTTATTTGTTATTGTATATATATATATATATATATATATATATATATATANTATATATATATATATATATATATATATATATATTACTCTTTTTTTATTTTGATTTCTTAATGGGAATTTTGATTTATTAATCTTTTTTGCTTTTTATTTTTCTTTCTTTTTTACCCTTTTTCTCTTTTTTTTTTCTTTTTCACTTTTTTGGATTAATTTTTTGTTTTTTTTTTTAATTTTCTTTTATGTATATTTGTGCTTAACTAAACCTTAATACTCCATTATTATTATTATTTTTGTTTTACCTTTTTTTCTTTTTATTATTATATACCTTTTTTATTTTTTTGAATATTTGTTTTTTTTTACTTTTTTTAAATTTTTTTGGACCCTTAATTTTTTGTTTATTTTTGACTTTTTATTTTTTTTTTATATTTTATGTTATTATTGGATGTGGGCTCCATAAGGGGCATGCAAGCAAATAAAGCAAAGGTGGCTGACACCCTAACTGACTAAGCTAACATGTGGACAGTGATGCATGAGGGAAGAATTTGACACCTAGATTCAAGGCTCCAACAAGGTCGCCAGCCTTCAAACCTCCACCCATTTAACAAATGAGCTTCTCAAGTTGGTTGCTAGTTGAGGGATTTCAGTGCAGCGTACGGGTGCATTGGTCCCGAGGCTTAAGTGTACGGCCCTCTCCTATAAGACAATAGGATGCTAAATCTAATGCAAGATGATGTGAAGAGTGTGCATAAACAAATAAGGAATAACAGAAATAAAGCAATAAACTATCTAATAATCAGCATGAAATAAGCAGTTATTTTTCTAATAAAAGGAAAGCAACCTAGAAGCATGCATATATACAAAATGGCAATCAAGCCAAACAGACCCCATGTGGGCCCCACCTATGGTCCAAGAACTCCCAATGGAGTCGCCGGCTTGTGAGAATCGAAAAAATCGACTCACTTGCCACATGGGCTGGGAATGGAGTCGCCACCCATCAAATTAGGAAATGGAGGTAATGGGGCCTCCAAGAAATGATTTTTAAAACACTTTGTTTTAATAGTGACTCCAAAGCCCAAGGCACCGGTCCAACCAGTCTAGGTAAGGCTCGGATGGGAGAGGGAAGGAGTTAGGCACCCCTCTCCCGGGTCCAATAAGTGGGGCCCACATGGTGTCTCAATAAACACAATCACAAGAACACAATTGTTTAACCAATCAAAACATACTAATGTCAAAGAAAAACAAATCAAAAACCTTATTTTATTTTTATTCATCTTTTATACCAACTATATTGCTGATTTCCAATTTTTTTTATTCTTTATTATTATTTTTTTATTCATCTTTGTTATTATTTTTTATACCATTTATTATTATTTCCTATCCTCACTGCTGCAGGAAATATCCCTGTATAGCCATGTACACTGGAGCATTCAAATCAGTCATCTTCTCCATCTAGGGTATATTGAGGCCGAAAACAAAATGAATTCAGTGTCTCTCATTACAACTCCAAGAGGCTAAACCACGCAGCTATTCAATTCAAACAGTCATATTCATGAATGGCACAACTGCTTCATAAGCAAATCATCCTGGGCTTAAAACAAGTTAGCAAAGCATCAATTAAATAAAACAGCAGAAAGAGGAGCAATATATTTAGATCTAAAACTCATCAACATCCCATTTGAACAATTCAGAGAAGATTAAAAGAAAGAATAAAGCAAAACAGATAGCAGATTACGATTAGGATTAACGCTAAACAAGAAAATTGGTAACTAAAAATCAAGGAAATGCATAAATCTGACGGGACTGGCTAGATCTCCATAGTTTTAACAGAATCAATTAGGTAGGAAGAATCGTCGCCAGTCCCAATAATTATCCTAGCACCCATCATTCCATGCCAAAATAAAAATAAAAATAAAAAATAAAAAATAAAGAAAAGAAACCGGGAAGATGGAAAGTCGGGGAGAGAGATTTAACAAGTTAACTCACATGAATTGGATTTCGGCCTGAATTCGCTACTGCAACAGGAGGGATTCGATTGAGCTTGAACGACGAAGGCGAAGGGGCGTGACCACTAGCATATCGGAAAGGGGGCGGTTGAGTTGCTGTTGCTAACAAAGGATTGGCACTTTTGGAATCTCTCCCGTTGGTTCTCTAGATCAAAGGCGATGAACAATAGAAAATGGCGATTAGAATGGTTCGATGGAAGAAGAAGAGGTAGAGGTGGAGGAAGAAGAAGAAAGAGGGAAGAGAGGGAGAGGTCTGTGTGAGATGGAGGGAATGAACGGCACAACCGCCGGTGTTCGATGTTGCAGCAGCGAGGAGTAGCAGGGGAGGGTGAACCCGAGGAAAAAAAATAAAAAGAAGAAGAAGAAGAAGAAGAAGAAGAGAGAAAGAGAGGGAGCGCAGACGGGCGGAGAAACCGCTACTGCGCGAAGCAGCGGCGGTGCCTGATGAAGTCGAAAAACAGAGGAAGGAGGAGGAAGAAGAAGAAGAAAGAAAGAATAAAGAGAAGAGGAAGAGAAGAGAGAGGAAGAAAGCGGTGGTTGGAGAAATCGGCCGACGCTCTGCCGCTGTGTATCGATGCGAGGAAGAGAATGAATAGTGCCTTTCAATTCATTCGGGCGAATGAAAAATACTGTTGAGTTTATACGAGAGGCAGGGGCATTTTCATAATTTTGAGTAATTTGGGGGCATTTTGGTAATGTTAGACAAAATGGGTCAAATTGGGTTCAAGAGGTTGAACCGGGGTTCTGGTCCAATAGTGGGTGGTTCTGGGTCAAAAAAATTGGCGGGTTGAGAAGGATTTTGATGCGTGAGCTAGCATGATTGACCAAAATGGAATCTTTTTGGATGAAAGGGTTAACGAGGGAATTTTTGGCGGAAATTTTGTAGGTTTGGGTTTTCGGACATTTTGGCTTGATTGGCAGGGTTAGATTGGCCCGACTGGGCTCAGATTGGGCAGATCTGGAAAGGGTTCGATTCGGTTAATTTGGGGGCTTGAAATGAAATATTTGTATAATGAAGGGGAAAATAAAGGCAGTTTTGGGTGAAATTTCTCTGGGTGGGGTTTTCGGCTAGTTTGAGATGATTGGTAAAATCAGATTGAGCCAACTAGGCCCGGATCGAACAGATTTAGAATCTGGTCAATCTAAAGCCTCGAAATGGAATCTTTGTGTAATCGAGGGTAAATGAAGGTGTTTTGGGCTAGAATTTCATATATATAGGTTTTTTGGTATTATGGGGTAATTGAAAAGGTTGATTGGTTTAGATGTGTTCAGATCAAGTGGATATGGGTTGTGGGTGCGAGAGTGGTCAAAATGAAATCTTTGTTTGATGGACGGGTGAATGAAGGAATCTTGAGTTCAAATTTCATGGGTAGGTGTTTCAGGATGTTCCTGGTCTAATGGTTGTGTCTGATCTAATGGTTAAGGTGTAAGTGAGGGTCGATCGGGACCATCGAATAGGTATCGGGCAGGTTTAATGATGGATCTGAAGGCTCTCAGGGTGAAATTTGGGTTTTTTGGGTGTTTCGGAGAGGTCGGAAGGGTTGATCAGGTGTTTGGGGTGAATTGGAGGCTCAAGCAGCGAAGTGAGCAAAAATCAGGTGTTAACAATGGGGCATGATTATTTTTCAAGCTACAAGCTACCTTAGTTTTGTGCTATAGGTTGATTGGCCCATGACAATAATTTTGTAACAAACACTCTAATGATATTCATTCTTGCTCAAATGATATTCATTCTTGCTCAAGATGGCCTAAAATAGCAAACCAAACATGACCTTAGTCTCAATAGGCCTAAACTAGCAAACCATGCGCTGGTGAAAGTTCTAGCCATCCACATAGGTCTATTAGAGGTGTCCCTTGGGGTGTCAAGAATTGAAGTGGATTGTGATGCTATCAAAGTGATTTCTTTAATCTCTAGGCCTTCGTCCAAGGTTCATCACAAGGCCTTTGCGATTATTTTGGACATCCATCATCTCTCCCGTCAATTTTTGAGAATTTGTTTTAGATGGATTAATCGAGTTGCCAATGGGTCAGCCCATAAGGTGGTCTAATTGTGTTCGCATTAACACCCCACATAATGAAATGGGGACACCTGTCCTCCCGCACAACCTCCATTCTGACACATACAAAGCTGATGGGGAGTCGGAGACCCCATTCCCATTCGACCCTCTCTGTTAGTACTCCTGTTTACCGTCCTTTCATCTCCATCCTAGATTGGAATCCGCTTATTCTCTGGCGTCGAGTTCATTTCGACGGTTCGAAGGTAATCAATTCTTTATCTCTCTCATCTTTGTTTCACTTCCACTCTTGTATTTTTATTATTTTTTTTCATTGCAAAACAGGCAAGGGAGGGTATTTTCACCACCATCACTAGTGACCACCGACAACTTTGAACAAGTGCAGTTTTTTTCCTCTTCCCTTTACTCTATTTTTTTAATTTATATTTTCCCCTGTTATAATGTTATGTATTGCTGATCCGTTATATTATATATTTATAAATACATATATGCTGTTTATTTATTTATAAATATTATTTTTTATATTTATTTTTATAAATTTGTTATATTATTTTTTTATAAAAGACATGTACATATATGATGAAAATAATTAAAAAATACTTATATTTTTTGTTTTTATTTTATTTAAATTAGTATATTTTAATTTTCTTTTAATAATTTCTTAATTTTTAAAGAAAATAAGTCAAATCGGATCAGATCCAAAGATCCGGTTTACCGTAAGATTCGAATTCAAATCAAATCCTATCAGATCAGATCTAATCATCAGATTGGATCGGATCTGACATGAACAATGCCAGATTAGATTCAAATATATCCTAATTCAAATCCAATCCGATCCATTTACATCCCTAATAGAAGAGAAGAAGACTCCAAACATGTACAAAAAGTGTGTTTACCTTCAGACGATGTAATTGTCAAAACGAATGCCAGTGTCGGAGAAGAAAGCAAATTTCGATTAGGATGGAGACTTGACAGTAAACAGCGCTACTCCAAAGTCAAATTGAGAGTGAGGGTCGAGCAGGAATGGCCAAATGGGGTCCCTGACTCCCCGTTAGCTCCGAACGCATAAGGTTTGAGGCTTTGAGCTGCCTGGCTAGAGCCTGTATGGGCCTTGGACCGGAATGGTCAGCCGTTGTGATCGCATGCTTTGCTGTTTAAAGTATATCATTAAGTATATGTTTTTTCAGCACTTGTGTGACAATGTGTGAACACATGAACATATACGGCATTATTTTCAGTTTCTTAACAAGTTATGATGAAGGAAGATTTGGCCCGACCTCGCAATCACTCCACGTGGCAAAAACGAATAGCTCGGCACTTAAAACAGCGTACCTAGGGCGCAAGCACCAAAGGGAAGAAACCAGCAGTCCGAACTCCCTTCGAGGAGTCCGAACTCCCTTCGAGGAGTCCGAACTCCCTTCGAGGAGCCCGAACTCCCTGCAAGGAGCCCGACCTCCCTACTAAGAGCTCGAACTCCCTACGAGGAGCCCGAACTCTCCCTTAGGCCCCGAGCCACACAAAGCAGTGACCCGAACTAGCCCGCCTCATGACAGTTCGGGACACTCCCCTCTCCGAACTCAAGACTTCACCTCGCACACCACTCCAGCACTTCGCCTCCAGGACGCCGAACTAGACAAACCACACCGTACCTGACACCGAATGAGTCCGTATCCAAGGGCGGCGCACCTGACTGACTTGGGATCTGRCGCTTGACAACCGCACTTCAATGGCCACCTGCCACCGCCACCTGCCACCGCCATCTCCAGTTACAGAGACGGCTCCGAGAACAAGAGCAGTGGCGGTTCTGCCCCARCAGAGGTGATGACACCCGAACTGGCTGAAGCACGGAAGTAATCAAACCCGACCTGACAGAAGCTTAGGAGTGAGTGCGCAAGGTGGTTATAAAAGGCACTCTACCCCCCAAGAACAAGGTATGCAAACTTTGCGCTATCTGGTTTTATCTTGCCTTTGAAGGATTCTAACTTGAGCTTCGGAGCCTTTACACCGG